AAATAGGGAGAAAATGCTCTGATCTAATCTATTCTGTGGTTACATTTCTCATTGTAAAATAACAAATTGGTGTTCTGGCTTTATGTCAGTCTCTACGTGCTAGGTTAATGTGAGTTTGCCCCTGAAAGATAGATTTACTCTTGGTGCATTTACCTAATAGGCTTTTGAGACTGTACCCCTTATCCCCTGGGCTATAAGTTTACCCATGTAATGTCATCCTAGAGGGAACCATCTGAGTGGCCTGAAAATCTTTCCCAGGCACAGCAATTATATTTACTGTACACAGAATACATCCACGAGCTCTCACATTTCTCAGCTTTCTGGCTGTTAGGTGGAGATATGTGACCAGTTCTGGCCAAAGGCTGTGAACAGAATTGACACCTATCACTTCTGAGCCAAAACACAGGAAGGTCTCCATACACTCTTTCCTCCTGCTGCCACAACCACAGAGACCACATATTGAGATGGCAGAATGAAAAATCAGCCTGCGCCCCTGCATGATCACAAGGAACAGCACCCCTCCTGACCTGTACTAGACAACTGAGGTCAAATAAAATGTTTGTTATTTTAAGCCACTGTGATTTTGTAGATATTTTATACTTTAGCATAACCTAGTCTAATTCAATACACCAGAGATGGGATGCCAACTTTACTGGGAGCACTTTTTTCAACCAATAGCAACATTAAACTTGAAAGCAGTATACGGTTTGGCTGTGTCCCCACCCAAATCTGATCTTGAATTGTAGCTCCCATAATTCCCACAACTTGTGTGAGGGACCTGGTGGGAGATAACTAAATCATGGGGGCGGTTTCCCCCATACTGTTCTCATGATAGTGAATAAGTCTCACAAGATCTGCTGGTTTTATAAAGGGTTTCTCCTTTTTCTTGGCTCTCATTCTCTCTTGCATGCCACTATGTAAGACATGCTTTCACCTTCTGCCATAATTGTGAGGCCTCCCCAGCCATGTGGAACTGTAAGTCCATTAAACCTCTTTTTCTTTGTAAATTATCCAGTCTCAGGTATGCCTTTATCAGCAGCATGAAAACGGACTAATACAGTAAATTGGTACCAGGAGTGGGGCACTGCTGTAAAGATACCCAATAATGTGGAAGCAACTTTGGAACTAGGTAACAGGCAGAGGTTGGAACAGCTGGAGGGCTCAAAAGACACGAAAATGTGGGAAAGTTTGGAACTTCCTAGACACTTGTTGAACAGCTTTGACCAAAATGCTGATAATGATATGGACAATGAAATCCAGGCTGAGGTGGTCTCAGGGATGAAGAACTCGTTGGGAACTGGAGTAAAGATGACTCTTGCTATGTTTTAGCAAAGAGACTAGCAACATTTTGCCCCTAACCTAGAGATCTGTGGAACTTTTAACTTGAAGGAGATGATTTAGAGTATCTGGCCGAAAAAATTTCTAAGCAGCAAAGCATTCAAGATGTGACTTGGGTGCTGTTAAAAGCATTCAGTTTTAAGGGAAACAAAGCATAAAAGTCCAAAAAAATTGCAGTCTGAGGATGCAATATAAAAAGAAAAACCCATTTTCTGAGGAGAAATTCAAGCCAGCTGCAGAAATTTGCATAATAAGTAGACAAATGTTTATCACCAACACAATGGAGAAAATGTCTCCAGGGAATGTCAGAGACCTTGTGGCAGCTCCTCCCACTACAGGCCCAAAGGCCTAGGAGAGAAAAAATGGTTTTGTGGGCCAGGTCCAGGACCCTCCTGCTGTGTGCAGCCTAGGGACTTGGTGCCCTGCATCCCAGCTGTTCTAGCCATGGCTAAAAGGGGCCAAGGTATAGCTCAGGCCATTACTTCAGAGTGTGCAAGCCCCAAGCCTTGGCAGCTGCCACATGGTGTTGAGCCTGCAGGAGCACAGAAGTCAAGAATCAAGGTTTAGGAACCTCTGCCTAGATTTCAGAGGATTTACGGAAATGCCTGGTTGTCCAGGCAGAAGTGTGCTGCAGGGATGGAGCCCTCATAGAGAACCTCTAAGGCACCGTGGAAGGGAAATGTGGGGTGCAAGCCCCCACACAGAGTCCCCACTGGGACACTGCCTAGTGGAGCTATAAGAGGAGGGCCACTGTCCTCCAGACCCCATAATGGTAGATCAACCAACAGCTTGCACCATGCACCTGGAAAATCCACAGACAATATCAGCCTGTGAAAGCAGCCATGAGGGAGGCTATACCCTGCAAAGCCACAGGGGTAGAGCTGCCTGAGGCTGTGGGAGCCCATCTGTTTCATCAGTGCGGCCTGGATTAAGACATGGAGTCAAAAGAGATCATTTTGGAGCTTTAAGATTTGACTGCCCCAGTGGATTTCAGACTTGTCTGGGACCTGTATGTAGCCACTTTGTTTTGGCCAATTTCTCCTATTTGTTACAGTTGTATTTACTCAATGCCTGTACCCCCATTGCACGTGGGAAGTAACTAACTTGCTTTTCATTTTACAGGCTCATAGGTGGAAGGGACTTGCCTTGTCTCAGATGAGGCTTGGACTGTGGACTTTTGAGTTAATGCTGAAATGAGTTAATACTTTGGGAGACTGTTGGGAAGGCATGATTGGCTTTGAAATGTGAGAACATGAGATTTGGGAGGGACCAAGAATGGAATGATACAGTTTGCCTGTGTCCCCACCCAAATCTCACCTTGAATTGTAGCTCCCATAATTCCCACATGTTGTAGGAGAAACCTGGTGGTGGGAAATAATTGAATCATGGGGGCAGTTTCCCCCATACTGTTCTTGTGGTATTGAATAAGTCTCACTATATCTGCTGGTTTTATAAGGGGTCTCCCCCTTTTGCTTGGCTCTCATTCTCTCTTGCCTGCCACCATGTAAAATATGCCTTTCACCTTTGCCATGATCATGAGGCCTCCCCAGCCATGTAAAACTGTGAGTCCACTAAACTCTTTTTCTTTATAAATTACCTAGTCTCAGGTATGTCTTTATCAGCAGTGTGAAAAAGGACTAATACAAGCAGAAACAGCTCTCACAACCTCCCTCTGCATTCACCTCTGGCCATTCTCAGTAAGATCAGGTAGGCAAGAGGTGGGCAGAGGTGGAAGAGGCAGGAACAAACCTATCTGGAATTAGGGCTCTTAAACCTGCCCTGCTCATATCAGCAGATAACTCACTGTACATTGTATACCCTAGAGGCTCTTTGCTGTTGCTACCCAGAGATGTCACTTTTTATATTTGTATAAAAACATAAAAAGCTGGCCAGGCACAGTGGCTCATGACTGTAATGCCAATCATTTGGGAGGCCAAGGCAGGAGGATCACTTGAAGCCAAGAGTTCACGACCAGATTGGGCAACATAACAGGACCCTGTCTCTATAAACAATTCAAAAATTAGCTGGGCATGGAGGCACATGCCTGTAGTCCTAGCTACTCAGGAGGCTGGGGTGGGAGGATCACTTGAGCCCAGGAGTTCATGGCTGCAATGAGCTATGATCACCCCACTGCTCTCCAGCCTGGGCAACAAGCAAGGGCAAAAGAGCAAGACCTTTTCTCTTAAAAACAAAGAAACAAACAAACATTACAAAGCTGCATAGTGACTAAAAAGCCAAAATAAGAAGAGTCAACAAAATGGCAAAATGGACTTAAATCATAGATATCATCAAGACATGATAAGCTTCCCAGCTTGATGAATTAAAATCCCATCATAATGTATTTATTTAGTAGAATTTGACTACACATGCACAGGTCAAGACCAAATGTGATTTCAGTGTTTATTTATTTATTTTTAGACAGTCTTGCTCTGTTGCCCAGGCTGGAGTACAGGGTGTGATCTCAGCTCACTGAAACTTCTGCCTCCTGGGTTCAAGTGATTCTCCTGCCTCAGCCTCCTGAGTAGCTGGGATTACAGGCACCTGCCATCGCATCCGGCTAATTTTGTATTTTTAATAGAGGCGGGGTCTCCCCATGTTAGCCAGGCTGGTCTCGAACTCCTGACCTCAAGTGATCCACCCACCTTGGCCTCCCAAAATGCTAGGATTACAGGCATGAGCCACCACGCCTGGCCTTAGTGTTTAAATATGTTTATTTTTATATACATGTAGGCATATTTATATAAAGATAAATAGATGTTTTGTTTATCTATTCAGGTGTGCTTGTCCTGCCCTGGTCCCTGCTTCCCTGGTGGCTACTTCCCACACACATGTGTGCTGCAGCCCCTGAGTCCATTTTCAGCAGGCTGAGGAAACACAGTAAACATAATCAGTGTTCTTACATAAACAGCATCTGTACAGAAAACAGCATAATCAGTATTCTGACTATTTGGACTCAACTATCCATTGGACCATTTCAAACAAAAATCACACAAGCAAATATGTGGTTTGAAAATATAGGATGAAAAGTCAAGTCAGGTGCTACAAATAACAACTTTCATGCGAAAAGGAATCCAGAGTTATCTCAGAGATTTCTTTCCCAAAAATATCTATTAAGCATATAGCACCACCGGGCACAGTGGCTCACGCCTGTAATCCCAGCACTTTGGGAAGCCAAGGCAGGTGGATCACTTGAGGCTAGGAGTTTGAGACCACCATGCGGGTCAACATGGCAAAATCCCATCTCTACTAAAAATACAAAAATTAGCCAGGCATGGTGGTCGGTGCCTGTAATCCCAGCTACTTTGGAGGCTGTGTCATGAGCATCATTTGAACCTGGAAGGCAGAGGTTGCAGTGAGCCAAGATGGCACTGGCCTATGCGACAGAGCAAGACTCCGTCTCAAAAAAAAAAAAAAAAAAAAAAAAAGAATTTAGCACACATTTGAAAGATCAGATTCAGATCTGATCAACTTCAGGACCTCTCAACTACGCATTTATATAAACTTATTCATATAGTTCAGTCTCAGGTTGGGAAAATCCAAAATTGGGGAAAACCCTCTGGTGATTCTCACCCTTGGTATCATGACCCATGGGAGTGTTGTGATCAGTTGTGAGGTCTGGGGGGGCGGGGGGCACTGGTTACTCATTAAGTTAAGGCATTAAAGCTGGTGAACGACTGACTTTATTGCAAATCAGGAGAAACACAAGATTACTGCTATAATAAATTCACTCTTACATGCTTTAGCAAAAATCAGTAAAAACAGAAAACATGGTAGCAATTAAAGTGAAAAAATTGGGGTCATTAAAGAATGTCTAACTGATTAGCTTGCAGTTTTTGAGATGGCTGAGAACTACCATCAGTGAGATCACCTTAAACAAACACTCTTAATGATGTGAAAAAGTCCCCATCCCTAAGTCAACTATAGGTGTTCAATATTGTAGATTTAACTGAATTTAAAGTTATGTTAAAACCCATTTTATTGAAGAGAAGAATTCCTTTTACAATATCATTCTCAAGTCATATATCAAGAAAAAGATTGAAATTACATTACTTTTTTTTAAAAATAGAAACAGGGTCTCGCTGTGTTGCCCAGGCTGGTCTTGAACTCCTTGGCTCAAACGATCCTCCTGCCTCATCCTGCCAAAGTGCTGGGATTACAGGCATGAGCCGCCACACCCAGCTGAGATTACATTACTTTTAGTGTTTAATTTCACTACGACAGGAAGTAGCCTAATAAATACTGTTTTGTTTTTATTTTCTGGATTCGTCCTGATTTTTAGTCTTTGTACATGAGTACAACAATAAAGGAAATCACTTCTTAGATACATTAAAATTACTTCCAATCTTGCCCCCCACACATGAACTGTTTCCAGTTTGCTATTTTTAATGGCCCATGCTTATCTACATAGACATAGCATAACATTGCTAACATTTTATGGCCTACTGTCCTCTTTCTTTCTTAGTATTATATTATAAAATATTTTTTCTTTATTTCCACATAGTTATTGATTCATTTTAATGGCTGCAAAATCAGGTACTCATTTAAGTTCAAATGATTTAGCTTCACTCCTCAGAAATGTATTTCTCCTTCTCTTGATTGGTAGTCATAATCAAATGAAGAGACATTATTCTTTGTAGCTGGTTACTTACATTTCAAATACACTCATGAGTGGAGCCAAAACTCCATTAGTTCATTAGTCTGGAAGCATTATTAAATCTCCATTAAAATGTCTTCATTTTTCAATTTTTATTTTTATTTATTTATTTATTTTTGTGGGGATGGAGTCTCACTCTGTCGCCCAGGCTGGAGTGCAGTGGTGCGATCTTGGCTCACTGCAACTCTCTGCTCCTGGGTTCAAGCGATTCTCCTTGCCTCAGCCTCCCGAGTAGCCTGGGATTACAGGGGCATACGGCACCACACCCAGCTCATTTTGTATTTTTAGTAGAGACGGGTTTCACCATGTTCTGGCCAGCTGGTATCGAACCCCTGACCTAAGGTGATCCGCCCACCTCGGCCTCCCAAAGTGTTAGGATTACAGGCGTGAGCCACTGTGCCTGGCCCATTTTTCAATTTTAAACATGAGGATTAAGTAGACTACTATGCACATTTGCTAATGGCAGTCCCTTACATTTCTTTTTACGCAGAAAATACTTGGTGATTAGAGACAGCAGCAGTCAGCGCACCTCTAGGCTGTCAGCGTGCCCTCTAAAACAACAGCTGCACCTCCTCTAATGTCAACCCTTCCATCTGGACGAAGTGAAATTCCCAGCTCTCCTCCTCGTTGGGAACACTGAAACGCTAAAGAAAACAAACAAGTCAAATTAAGAGTATTTTCACCCTTTTAAATTAACAAAGCATAGTGAAAGACTTATTACAAATCTTAGAGTCCTCCCAGATGAGTTTCAAGAATAAACTCCTTCATCTGTTTATGGTACTGCCCACTCCCATCCCCATTCTCCTGCAGACTGAGAGAGCCACAAACTCAATTTGATCTACAAAACACACAGCTCCACATACTCCAGTCCTGAGCCTTTTCCTGGGGCACCTCCTCTACTAATTCCTGTAATGGCCCAGACACAACCCACTCATCGCTTCTTCCCCAGCTCTCTCTAGGAGTAAGCAAAGATGTTTGAAACGATAGAGGCAGGCCTATAACTCTAAGAAGATGAAGAAGGGTGGTCTCAGTCCTCCTGAGAAGGCCCCCATCTTCTCAGCACTGAATAGGACAGAGGGAGTTCATTCACTCATAACATATTCAAGCAACCACGTGTGCCAGGCAGACAAAACAGGCACAGCCTCAATCTTCCAGGAGCTCAGTACTTAGGAGAGTAATGAGACTCTCCAAGGAAAATGAATAGCCACCCTGTTCTCTACAAATCAGGGTCACAGACTACTCCTTGGATGATCAGGGCAGTGCAGCCTCCATCGGCTGCCATCATTTTTCTTTGCCTCTAAGCAATACATTAATCACTAGGGGACTTGGTTCCAAAGTAATTTGTTTGATTCAATCCTGTGATGAGCAATAGCAGTAAGGAACCTTGGTGATCATCCAGTCTCAACCCATCACATTATAAATAACCTCTCTGGGCCAAAGTTATACAGCTAATTTTATTCAACAAACACTTATTGGGCAGTTACTGTGTCTGCGTCTGTACAGTCTCTGTATGTTGGGGGAGACAGAGGTGAAGGATGTTTGGGGTGGAGGATCTTTAAGAGTGAAGGAATTTTAAAACCTTTCATTTTCACATGGTGATACGTAACATTTTATTACATTTTCAAGGGGATAGTACATATGAGAAGGAACACTAGCTTTGAATTAGGCAAATAAAAAGAAATTGGTAAAGAGCTGTCCTACCATGCATTTCTTTCTTCCCCAGCTGCTGGGACCAGTAGCTGCTGAGAACAGCGTGTGCAGACCCTCAAAAGAAGTGAAAAGTTAGAAGATAATCCCAAAGAAAACAGGCGATTTTGTGGTAAATTTCTAAGCAATTACAATCAATTATCCAGTTTGACTAAACCCTAGATCACCTAAATCATTATGTTGGCCAGGCCACCGCAGGGTATAGAATTATGAATGGAGATAGAAAGGAAGACATAGAATTTATGGATAAACTCTGCCAAATTATGTATCAAATGGTCTCACAGTTTCTTTTCTTTCCTTTTGTCTTTTTCTTTTATTTAATTTTTATTTATTTTATTTATTTTTTGAGACAGAGTCATGCTCTGTTGTCCAGCCTGGAGTGCAGTGGCACAATCATGGCTCACTGCAGTGTGGACATCCCATTCTCAAGGCATCCTCCTACCTTAGTGATCTCCTACCAAAGGGGCTCAACAAATTAGCGGTAAGACAAAAGAAATTAAACCTGCAGTCATAATCACACTTAAGAAACTGTACGACCCACAGTGGCTCATACCTGTAATCCCAGCACTTTGGAGCTGAGGCAGGTGGATCTCCTTGAGATCAGGATTCGAGACCAGGCTGGGCACCATGCGAACGCTACATCTCCACATAAAAATACAAAAATTAGCCAGGCAATGGTGACACACGACCTGTAAGTCCAGCACTTGGGGGGGCTT